TCTTCCGATAAGCAGGGAGGCTTATTTGACAGCCCCTGAAATTCTCATTTATTTTGACTGACCTCAAAGAGCTAATTTTTGGTGAAGTACATATAACAGCACACTCTGGGCTTTTGTTAGTAACTACCATCACCTCTGCAGTAATACAACTCTCACTAACCCAAACAGTGACAAAATTCCAAAGTGTGCATGTTGGTGAGATCTCTCAGTATTTTACTGCAGCAGATACTAGATATTTCTCTCTAACATTATTCTCTTTTCCCTTTTTATGTTGCCTCTAGCCAGAAAATTCAACATGACAGAAGCATTCACAGGAACGACAGCTGAATACACTTACGATGAATATGCTTTTTCCTGCAATAAGACTGACATCCAAGAATTTGGGAAAATATTTCTGCCAATATTTTACATTGCAGTGTTTGCTCTTGGCCTCACAGGGAATCTAATGGTTGTTCTTGCCATAGTGAAAGAAGGCAGTAAAAAAAGCATCACTGACATCTATCTCCTGAACTTGGCTGTCTCAGACCTTCTCTTCGTAATCTCCCTCCCCTTCTGGGCCTCCAACACGGTGCGTGGATGGACCCTCGGGACTGTTCCATGCAGAGCTATTTCCTCGCTGTATTACATCGGTTTCTTTGGGGGCATGTTCTTCATCACCGTTATCAGTATTGACAGGTACCTGGCCATCGTCCGGGCAACGTATTCCCTGAAATCCAGAACAGCGAAACACGGCTTTCTTATAACCTGCGGAGTATGGGCAATAGCGGTTTTAGTTTCAGTGCCACATTTCGTGTTCTCCCAGCTGGTAGAAAGCGACTGCATTTCTGTCTTCCCCCAGGAGCTGGAGAACGTCTGGCCAGTGTTCTGCAACGTGGAGCTGAACACTATCGGCTTTGTCATCCCAGTCTGTATCATATGCTATTGCTACTGTGGGATCATCAAAACCCTGCTGTCCTGCAAAAATCATAAAAAAACACGAGCCGTAAGACTGATCTTGATTGTGGTGGTGGTGTTTTTTCTGTTTTGGTCCCCCTACAATGTACTGATTTTTATAGAGACTTTGAAGCACTATGAGTTATTCACAAATTGCAACCAAATTAAATCATTTGACTACGCGATGCACCTGACCGAAACCATTGCATTCAGTCACTGCTGTCTCAATCCTCTTATCTATGCCTTTGCTGGGGAAAAATTCAGGAAATACCTTCATCGTGTCTGCTTAAAGTATTGTCCATTCCTGTGCTTCTGTGGCCCCTGCAGTCGCTACCAGGTCACCCATTCAGCTAGCTATGCAGAAAGCATCGTGAACAGCAACATAACCCTCAACACCAGTGACCAGGATGGCTCTGTCTTTGTCTAAAAGGCTCTGGGAAGAAGAAATATATGTAAATATGTCTTCTGCAGGGCTAATCACAGCTGAGAGATTGCCATTACTCATATAAAGAGACTTATGGCCACCTTGAATTACTGACATGCCTCTTGTTAAGCATTAGATATTCTAAAACAGTAAAGATTTTAGAAATAAAAGCAGTACAATATGTCAAAGCTGAACCTGGAATTGAATCAAGAGAGAGGAAGAGGGAAAGTACAAGCAAAAGCAGAGCTCTGTGTCTAGAATGGGAGATAGAGAAGAATTTAAGGACAGGGAAGCTGTTAAACAGTTTCAGCATCAAAACTTGCACATACATCAGTGTATGCACATGTGGTACAAATGTACATAGACCTAAACTCCTTTTTTAAGTGAAGAGAGATCTCTTTAATGAATGGTAGCTGGCTGTTAGCAAAAGGGAATATTTTTGGTAGTAGAGGGGTGTATCTTTGATGTTATATATCCATATAGAAGTGATTCTGGAGTTATTGATCACAATAAATATTTTAGCTGTGCTTTCATACCTAATAAAATCCTACTGTTAAAAAAAAAAAAGTTACTTCTGAATATGCGTTTAATGCCAACAACGCACTCAGCATTTGCAGCATGCAATAATCAGAGCAAGGACCGTCCTTAAGAATTTGGGACCTGACCTGGAGGTGATGCAAGCCGGCAGGCATCTCTCCTGATTGCCATGGGCTATGGCCTGAGCCAAAGGGCAGAATTTGGTGGAGTCCTCCACTCAGCACATTCCCAAGTGCTCTGCTGAGTGAGGGGCTGCAGCTTGGTCAGTGGACATCAGCAGATGTTGGGACAACAGGAACTGGAGGTATGGGTTTGGGGACCATTGTGCTTGGCCCAAATATGACACAATCACGCCATGAATTGCTTGCAGAGCATGGTAAGTATGTCCTTCACACCCCTGCTCTGCTTGCCACGTGTTGTAAACACCAAATGGGTCTGTAGCATCACAGACAACAGCTTTTGGGACAAAATAACCACTTGCCCATGCTGCTTACCACAACCTTCCTCAAGCTTTGTGGCCTGCCCCACCACAGCTGGTTTCCCCAGGGAAACCTGCAGGTGTACCCAGATTCACTGTGTCCCAGAGGACACATTTACCATGGGCACTCCACAGCCTCCAAATATCCTTTTTACTCTTGCAATGGCAGTGCACTGGGGGGGGGGAATGTCAATCAGACAAGTGCGAGTGCTTCCCAAAGGACCTCCTTGGGACGGTCCTGCCATCATCTGCTGCAAGAGCCAAGGGGATCCTTGTTGGCACTGTGGTCCAGAGCTGGGTACATGGTACAAGGACTGCTGCTATCTCTGAGGCTGAGATCACCTTACAAGGAAAAATCAGGGACCACTCTTACAAAACGAGTCCATGCCAATAGGACTCCATTTCTGTACAGAGATGGAACTGGCAATATAGCAAATATGAAGAAATACTCTCATTTTCTGACTAACGTAAAGAGTTGTCCTAGAGCATCAGTGAGAAGAGTAAGCACTTTCTTTGTGGACCTCAGTACCACCTTGCTTCTAAGAAAGCTTGGAGAAGCACCTCTCCACTGAGCAATTTTCCCACATGCAAGAATACAACAAATATTACATATTCCAATTTTTGCTACTGAATATTCAGCACAGTCTACACTATAAAAATGCCTTGCATTAGATGTAAATATTTTATATATGCTCAACTTTCAAAATTTCAGCTATAAGAGGACTTCCAGACTCCAGGCCTATTGGCTAAGATTAAGAGTAGCGTGAGTGCCACTTGAAATTATATTACTTCTCAAAATTCCCTCTACCCCACCCCCAAACAAGTGGTATTTTTAAGAAATTGTATTTTTACAATGTTTTTTTAAAGAAATGCTAAGATGTGCAGAAAGAAAGAGGAAGGTACTCGTAGACTAAACAAGACATCTGCATGAAGTCAGCCTGAAGAGGGTGGATTACCAGGCTGAGCAATGCAGTCTCACTTGGCTTAGTTAGCTTTCCTTTTATTTTTCATACAATGGAGAGTTTGCAGAACTGCATCTGCAAAAAACCTTGGCTTCCAAGGCAAGGGCCCCTCCTGACAACCTGCACTTCTGTCTTCTTTGCCACACTGTGCAGTGGAAGACTTCACCATAACATCGTCAAATTTTGTGCCACATATTTGCAAGTCATTACTTAGAATTTTCTAATTATGTCCAAGGGTTTATGGCTCAGTATTTGAGCACTGGTATGAGATAAAAAGCTTCAGGAGGGGTTTCCAGGCATTCCTCTACAACAAGTAGCTAGTTTATACACATGCCTCCTAATTGCAGAAGTGGTAAATCTTTGAAAACCAGTTGAAAACCAAAATCAACATTTTCGTTTTGTTTGCTTTAGCAGGAAGAGTTTTGTAATTGTGTCTTTAAAAACTTCAGTCTCCACAAACCATACCAGTGCTCTGAAGGCAGCCAGTAACAAACTACCAGGACCAGGTTCAGCTGCAGCCAAGCCAGCCACTGCTGCTCCTTGCTGTACTGCACTGTGCCCTCAAGCATGGGGAGCCTCAGCCTCTGCCCACAACACGTCTCTGTTATGATTTGTGACAGATAACACTGTGTACTTTCCTGAGTTCTGCTAATTTTACACATTAGACTCCTTAAGGTATTCTTTGCACCATTTGAACCTGACTGAAAGCCCACTGACATCCCATTAAGTCCCTCTGCTGCACTTCCAGTTAATTGTAGCCTTTATTTAAAGATACTTCTCTTTCAAAACCTCTGCAGCAGGAAGCTGGTGCTTTCTAACTGCCCAGGTAGTTTACAACATGCACTTTACTATGTACAACACTAATGCTGCATGTATCCTTAGAGTAGATCAATACATCCCTGAGGACCAGCAACATCCAGTTCCTACCCATTACACATGAGAAAGTAAACCAGCCTCCCAGTATGGGATAAAACCTTTCCATCTGCCATAAATTAAGGAAAGACTCTTGCTTGCTTAGCAAGTTACAATTTACACATGAAAATACACAAATATACATGCACACTTGTTTTATCTACCCACTGAACAGTATTTGGTTGTGCAAAAAGTTCAAGAAGTCTCTGAGTTTGGTTGGGGGATTGAGCTTTGGGGTTTTGATGGGTAGTGAGCTATCTTTGCATCTTAGTTTTTCATCATGATCAACTTTTTTTCCTGTTTGAGAGTCACACTGACACTTAACATAAATCTTAACCCAGCTGAGTTACAGTTTGAGGAACTAATAAAACCCGAATCCCATTTTTCTCAGCAGGTTCATAACTATACTTCATGTTCTATTATAAATAGAATGAAAAAGACACATATATAGCCAAACTGCTTGCAGTGAGATACAAGGACATTAGTATCTTTTCTAGGTGCCACTGCAAATTCCTCCTGTTCAAATATCACATAACAATCTCAAAATCATAGAATTTATGTTTCTTCATTTTTAAGCCAAGCATGGCTCTGTGAATTCTTTTCATTGACCTCTCGAGGTTTTAACTTGTACAAAAAACTTGGAAGTGCAGTCAGAGCATCACACTGAACTAGGAAATTTCCACATATTTCCTTTGGATTTAGAATTCACTGGGAGTGGAGCTGAAGCCCTGGTTCAGGGTAGTCTGAAGTTTTAAGGCTCTGTTTCACAAAGAAAATATTTACAAATGCACTGCTAATGGGTTAGGTTCAGTCATTTCCATTTTGTCTCTGTCACCTTCACCAGGTGCTTCACTGAGATCTCATAGGTAGCACAAAACCCTCGTCCTAGCAGGACACTGTTGCCAACAAGGAGACAAGTCCCATCCGTGCCAAGCCCTGCTATCACTAAAAAACAAAGAAGAGTTTTCCAAAGAAAATCTCAGTTACGAGCTTTATTCTTGCCAAATGTGAATTCTAGACTTTGCAGTATCTCTACTCCCCCTTGCTTTTGCAGCTCCTAGCTGGTAACATTTTTCATCTGTAGTTCTTGCCCAAGCATGGTGTAGTGCTTTGCCTAAAGCAGTTTACATACCGCTTCTAAACACATCTTAGTAGTGAATGAAATGTTTTCTGTATTAAGGACTTACCCAGTCCTGCTCAAAGATTTCCTGTGTGCACTTCAGTTTCTTAACTCTGTAGGACACCCAGAACTAATGAAAACCTGTGACTTCCAGGGTTGTTATTTTGAAATTCAAATCTGGCAATCAAAGCTAAAATCGAGATGGCTTCTGACACAGCACATACATACAGATTCTGCTGAAGTTGGTAGTAATTCTGCTGTCATTGTTAATAAGAACTTCCTAATTTACTTCGTAACCACTGTAAGAGTTTGGTTTTTAACATATACACACCCAAACAACAAGACCTGGGTTTTGCACTGTCAGTGTTAACACATTGTTTGCAACACGGACAAAAATACCCACCAACTTCTCCTGTGTAATTTTGTTTGTTGCACTAATATTCCATACACAAATAGTTAACATACTGTATTTGCCATTTCTCTTCCTAAAGAAATACTGTAAAATAGCCCCCATTTGACATAGGGGAAATGGTTTGCTTATGGAGAACAGTTTGCATTTACCAAATTTCCAGCTGAGCTCCCATGATCAGCAGGAAGCAGCACATTAACTTTACATCACTGAAGGCAGAGGCTATTGAATGCATTAGAGGATGCAAGAAAGGACTCTGGGCACCACTTTTTCACTGTGTTGTTATCCATTTACCAACTACAGCTGTAACTGGAGTAGTCTGTTTTCCATTTAATCCAGATTTTATGTCTCTGCTAAGTTCTATGCGTTTGTCACTGCTCCATATTCAGCTGCAGCCCAAGAGTCCAGCTGAATATAGATCTATATGCCAGGATAATGCAGGCAACTGAAAGGAGCTGCATTTCTTCACAAGAAGTTTGCACTGAGCACATAAATGCTACATTTCCTACATTAAATTTAAACCCAGCAGCATCATGACAAAAAGAAATGGCAGCACAGTTTGCAACGGCCCTAAATTGCAGGTCA